TCACGTGCTCAAGACTCCAGCAAAATCCTTTCATAAAGAGTACACTGCTGCCGGGCGTGGTGGCTCACACCTTTAATCCCAGCATTCAACAGGCAGAGGCAGGCAGATCTCTGTGAGTTCAAGGACAGCCTGGTCTGGTCTACATAGTTCCAGGACAACTGGGGCTACAGGGAGACCCTGTCTCAAAAGGACCCAAAAAAAAAAAAAGAGTACACTACTATCGCTCTGCTGTCTCCAAAGACACTTCAGCCTGTAAGAGTTCAACAGGACTGGGTCTTGGTGCTTTAATCCCTCCTTCAGAATGGGTAGCAGGTGGCTTCTTACTCAGAAAAAAGGAATGCTCAAGACTTAGAGGCATCTCCTTTTATGCTGGTAAGAGAAGACCTGTCATGACTATGGCCAGAACCTATCACTGCTGCCATGTGACGGCCACACAAGTGATATCTAACATGTTGAAGGTCTCAGCAAAGTTGCTCTTCCCTGTACCACAGTCACTGGGAACAAAAGTGTGCATTCCCACCTTATAGTTCCTACACCCAAGACACTACTCATAAAATCCAGAACTAACTCACGAAAGGAGCTGGCAGAACTCACTGCTACACAGGCAGAAGAATTCAGAAATTGTGTATGGCCATTTAAGTCATTCTCATTAACTCCTCCATGCACATACCTCTCACACTTGTATCAGTCATTCAAATATCTCTAGGGAAGGTGTGGTGGTACACTCCTTTAATCCCAGTATTCCAGAGGCAGAGGAAGGAAGATACCTGTGAGTTTGAGGCTAGCCTAGTCTACACAGTGAGCTAGTGAGCTCCAGGCCAGCCAGTGCTACATGGTGAGACCCTATCTCAAAACTCAAAACAACATCAATAACAAAATTCACTTTACTTTTACTAAATCTAGCATCATTTTCTTGAAGCTTTGAGTTTCTTTTGCCCAAACAAGAACAGGTAACACAAGATCCTATCTCACAAACCAACAAGAACAAAAACCCCCAAGAGGGCCAACAAGATGTCTCAATAGCTAGGGCACTTCCCAAGCCTAACAACCCCAGGAACCACATGGTGGAAGGGAATAACCAACTCTCACAATTTATCTTTGGACCTCCATACATGTGCCATGGTAATAGGTACAAAAACCCAGACCCAGACCCAGACACAGACAGACAGACACACACACACACAAAATAATGTAATGATAATACCCCAAGAAACAAAAAACAGTTAAGTTAGGTGTGGTAGTACACATCTATCCTAACACTTGGTAGAGGCTAGAGGATTAGGAGTTCAAGGCCAGCCTTAATTACATTCAGAATTCAACTTCTGCCTAAACTACATGTGACCCTGTCTCAAAAAGCCAAGAAGGCAACAGAAGGGAAATCTTCACTGCACAGATCTACTATAACCGGTCAGTCAAGAGATCCGTGAACCTGGTACTAAGCAAGGCCATCTGTTCCCACTCTCAGCTTCCTCCCTTTCCAGCAGGTTTCAGTAAAAAACTCAGTACAGTATAAACAGCCCAAGGAAGGGTAGTTTTTTTTTTTTTTTAAACTACTGTATATGGAGGCTTCTAGAAAGTTTTCATGTTTGAGAAAGGTCTTACTATAGAGCTCAAACTGACCTGCAACTTGCTAAGTAGATCAGGCTGGCTTGGAACTCAGAGAAATCCACCTGTCTCTGCAGGCCAGGTGCTGGGAATAAAAGCATATGCCACCACACCCTGGGTTTTGGGGGGCAGGGTCTCATGCTGCTCAGGACTAGCCTTGAACTCACAATGTAGCCAAGACTAGACTTGAACTCCTCAGGTGTCCACCTCCCAAGGACATATACCACAACAGTCAGTGGAAAGGCTTTCCTTTCATTTGTTATGTTAGACATTCCCTTCCTCCTCATTAAAGCCCACTACAGTGAGGGATACTCTGGGGAAGAGCACTAGGAATTTTAGCCCTGAGTTTGGCAGCCCTCAGCACACAGAAATGAAACAGGTGGCAAGTGCTGTCCAGTAGAGTTAGTGCATGTTCAGTAGGTACCCAGAATTAAGGCTACCTCCTAGATTTTATTTTCTTTTTAACATTTATTGTGTCTGTGCATTTGTACATACACAAGCATACCAAATGTCACAGCACACATGTGGAGGTCAGAGGACAACTTGTCTCTCCTTCCACCATATGGGTTCCAGGGATTAAACTCAGACTGTCAGGCTTGGTGGCAAATGCCTTTACCCTATAAACCATCTCACAGGCCTTTCCTAAATATTTTCTTTTTTTATCTTTCCTTTGAGACAGGGTCTCATGTAGTCCAGGCTAATCATGAATTTATAAGCCAGGCCTTAAATTCCCGATCCTCTTCCCTCAGACTTCCAAGTGCTAGAATTATTACAAATATAAGATATAATACCTGGCTA